AACATGTTATTTCCTCCCTACTCTGTTCACATGAAAGAAGGTTGTTCCGGGTTAAAAATGAAGTTAGCGCATGCGCTGGTTCAAAGGTGAGCCCACTGGTAAAAAGGTTTTCAAATAACTGGGAGAACATCGATTAGCCTTTTCTATAACACAAGCGCAATTCAGCTGAAGATACTGCACAGGCTACATATATCTCCTAATCACAGACATACTTTTAACAGTTCCTTTTCCCCATTTTGTCTTAAATGTAAGACTGAAGTTGGTACTCTGACTCGCTGTTTATGGTCATGCCATTTGATACAGGGTTACTGGTGTAAAATACTTCGAGAAATGCAAAAGATTTTGAGTTTGGATCTAGATTTAAAGATTCACGGACGAGAATCCATAAAACACATTATTACACGTTTTGATGTCCACATATTCTTTTAATTACAGCGGCTATAGCATTTCTGTCCTAAAGAAATGGCCAAATATTAAAGATTAAGTGGACATTTGAATTAAATGATGCTTGGTCAATATTAAACAAGTATTAGATCGCGCAGTAGTGTGTAAAAACAATCATCAGGCCGTTGGCGCCCTCTGTAGGCCTGTGTTGTAATGTGTAATGTACATTAGCTCTATTGTTTATAAAACATTATGTATTTTAACAGTTTTGTTCAATAAAACCATATGATTTCTTGCTTTTGATACTTTACTTGAACTAATTATTATTGCCTCATTGCTATTATATATGTATTTTAAGTAATTTTAAAGGCTATTGTTCACTTACATCTATTTTTATTACCTCAAAAAATATATTGTAATTATAGGGCCCTATGAAATTAGTTTTATTTCCAAATTCAGTATTTTTTCCATTTTCATTTTTCTATATTCTGTTTTAATGGTTAAATTAAAATGTATTAATCGAAAAACCTGTCTAATTAATTGAGATTTACAGTTTTATCTTTACCAAATTCTGTTTTCCATTATTTTCTGGATTCCATTTTAATGGTTCCATAAAATAAAAAAAATCAAAAGTATCTCCAATTAATTGATTTTATTTAAAAAAATAAATAAAATCATTTTTTTCAGAAATACTGCACATTTAAATTTTTCTCCTAAATGAATTCTGGTAAATAACATTTCTGGTAAATACTCCTTTAAGAAGCGTTTTTTTATTATAATTTTATTAGTAGACTAGAACACATGGATATGTTGCCATTCTTACACTATAATACTGAACTTTGATTTAAGTGATTTGGACTATGAGATGGACACTTGCTGCTTGCACTCTATGTTGCACTTTTGCTTTCAAAAAAGGATTTCATAGAAATTTGGATTTCATTTGGTTTAATAAGAATATTTTATTAAACCATTTTAAGTAAAATTGTTGATTTTTTGTGTGGGAAATTAATCGTTTAGATTAATCGATAAATTATTCGATAGATTAATCGAAATAAAAATAGTCGTTGGTGGCAGATCCTGGAAAATATGTGTTGTAGTCCAAACAAGTCGTTCGTTGTAGTTTTTGAAAAGTGATTTCTGTTAAATAAAATATCTCCTTTTGAAGTGGACTTTGAGCTTTGTAACTTTGCAGATCTTTTTTATGCTCAAACAGCAACATTACAGACTAACTAAAGTTGAAAAAGCATAATAGGACCCCTTTAAATGTCATGGGTGTCTTTTATGTAAATGTGCTCCGGAGCTGTTAGTTATGTGATGCTTTAGTTAGTTTGTGACACTGTCACTGAACTAAATTGATCTGAATAATGACACTATAGTCTTCTGTAGAGCTGCTTTACAGCTTAAATGGAATTAGTTTCATAATTGATGAGTTTTGCAACATTCGCACTGTTATTTTCCTGTTTATCACTGAATCTGCTTTGAATCTGTGTTGTATAAAGCACTATATGAATATATTTGATGTGTTTTTTGTGTAGAGAGTGTTTGCAGTGCTGATCAGGCGGTTACGACCGCTGCTCCGACTCAATCACCCAGAACCACTGTTGCCCCGTCACCCATCCCACTGCCCGCACCGGAGCGTGGAAACTACACCATAACCGACGGCAATGGCACTGCCTGTCTGTTGGCACTCATGGGGCTGCAGCTCAACATTACGCACCACTCAAAGTCTCTGAACAAGGTGACAAATGCTCACGGTCACTTCCTGCTGATGTTATGTGTTTGACCGCCACTGATGTTTGATCTGATCCTCCACAGACCGTCAGTAAAGTCATGAACCTGCAGCCCAACAGAACCACAGCCTCGGGGTCATGTGGGGTCCCCAGGGCCACGCTGATGCTGTCTGAGGATCTCACCAACCTTACCTTCACCTTCACACTGGTGTGTGTGTGTGTGCTTTCTGTGTCTGAATGTCTTGTAATCAAAATATGATGATAATCGGGATGTTTTGTGTGTTGCTGCAGAACCTGACCACACAGAAGTTTTTTCTGAGTGCTGTGAAAGTCTCTGCCTTCTGGCCTGACATGACAGGTACGTGTTCAGTTCACTAGTCTGTAGGATTATTAGAACAATCATTTAAATCTATTAAATTAATATATGATCCAGCAACAGGATGTCCACCGATCCTTAAAAAGCATTCAAATGTCTTAAATTCACTTTTCAAAATTTAAAGGGGTAGTTCACCCAAAAATGAAAAATACCAACCAGTTGATGGTAACTTCCATAGAAAATATCAAATTAAACAGTGCATCATTTTGTAGTGTATAATACTGCATTTTAGATTATTTATTTTAGTGTAAAGATGGTGATGGATGACATCAGGGGCACAGAACATCATTCCAGAAGAGAGGTGGACAGACATGTCAAAAAAATATATATTTTAAAAAATATGATTAAGGTAAGCAACATTATACGGCCATGATGTTTCCCCTAACAAATTAGTGCAAAAAAAAAAAATCAATGCATGTGTGACCTGCATATAGGCTTGGTTAGAAATATTGGTCTGCATGCACACAGTACATGCATCCTATGCTGATAATAAAATTTGTAAAAAATTGTCATGTACTAGTACCCTAGCATTTATGCAAAAACCAAAGTATACTTTGGGTTTTAGCTTGTTAACTGAAGGCTAATTGAAAGCACAAAAAATGGTAAATGTTTCATCAAGATTTTTGTTCATGTAATTTAAGATATTATCATGTCAGTTTCATGATTAAGACTAAATACACTGCAAAATGATTTCTATCAGTTCTAACCAGGTCCCAAATAGAGTTTCTATAAAGTTATTTCAGTCAATGGAATATACGGTGGCCGAGAGAGCTCAATGTGCTGCAACTTAAGAAAACACATGCAAATAGAAAAAGCACCAGCAAATTAAGAACACAAACTTCATCAGTTTGACAACACATGTGCTGCAAATACTCAAAATGCAGAAAGGTGCTGCAAACACTCACAGCACAATGAAATACAGAAACGTGCTGCAAATACTCACAGCACAATCAAATATAAAAGCACGCTGCAAATACTCGCAACACAACCAAATATAGAAGCGCGCTGCAAATACTCACAGCACAATCAAATACAGAAACGTGCTGCAAATACTCGCAACACAACCAAATACAGAAGCATGCTGCATATACATTGCAATCAACACGATTGCAATGTGACACTGATTTTATACAATAGTATTTCAATAAACTAGAAGTTAAAATTAAGTGACTTAGATTTTAGACAAAATAATGACCGTTTTTGCTCAATTTCGCTGACGAAAATAGTTCAGATCAAAGCCACAGCAGAACTGTTGTGTGTCTCCGAGCAACACACAGCGTGTTTCGTCTTGAGGCATGTGAAATGTTTTTGTTATATAGTTAGATATGGCACTGTACATGCTACTTGTTGACAATAAAGCATTATTAAAAAAAACACCAAAAAAACAGCGCGTTTCATTATTGAATGAATCCTTGAATGAATTGAGTGAGTCAGTGATTCAATGGCCCATTCATAAGGACAGTCACTTGCCTCCTTTCTGAATGAATCGGTTGAATGAACAAATGACTCGCTCGTTAAAACGGACATTTGCCGCCACCTACTGGTGGTTTAGTCATATTTAAAAGTATCATTGCATTTTTTTTTTTTTGTGTGTGTTTAAAAAAATAGTGTAAAAATGTGCAGTGTAAATGCATTTATGGCACCTCAGCTTCATCAAAATGTCTGTGTAAATGCATCTAATGCCACTTCAGACGCAGCTTCTGTTTCCTCAGCAGTGGAAAGATAGAGTTTAATACTAATTTCATTTGAATGGTAACAACTCTACAGTTTCTTATTATTCTAACTGAATTAATTGAAACAAAGTAAGAATTTGATGTGAAAGATGACATTTATTAAGGTTAGGGGGGAAAATGACCATTTATAAACAGTGGGAAATTACATCTGTTTTGTTACATACAGCAACTCATTTTAAGTTAACTATTTCTTCCTCTTTCCAGTCACAGAGCACTTTATTTTGAGAGTTGTTTAAGTGAGAGAAAATCTGTAACTTATATGTAAATAATTTTACATTGAAATTTGCATAGATTTTTGTTTGTATATGCTGTCACTTATAGTTCTTAGAAAGAAAATCGGTATCGGCAGGTCACACTTCCAAAAAATCGGAATCGGCTAAGAAAATTGCAATCGGTGCATCTCTACTTCTTACCCAACAGTCAAAGTGGCATTACGTCACGAAAGTGTGGACTCGGAGGAAGATCGCGAGGGATTAGGGTGCGATTTGGGAAAGGGCTATAAGTTATTACTTCTATGAGTCTATTTTGAAATTTCTGTGTGAGTGCCCTCCGGCTTCGAGGATGAATAGACTGGATGAGAGTCTTAAGCACTCCATAATGTTCACGTCGCCTCATTTTGAATACGAATAAAACATCAGGTCATACATAGACTTCTTGTCTCTATGAATTTGAATCTAGATTTATTTCCACTGGCCCTTGAGAAACTCTGCGTGAACACACTTACCCGAAAAAACTAATTTGCTTTTTATTAATAGTGGAAACCACTTGCCCTGCATATTCTACACCCATGGTTGACATTTATTCATACTGATTTACAAAAAACTGAATCACCCAGCTGAGCCATCTGAGGTTAAAAAGCTGAATCATAATGATAGGGGTTTAATATAACGCTCTGATTAATCATTAAATATACATTTTTACCTTTGTTTTGCTACAGATTATTTTTTGCATTAAAAAAAGTCTTCTCATTCAATTTTTTATATATTTCATGTTCTTAAAGTAATATTTATAAAATGATTTGAACATTGATCCATGACTGGTTTGTGAATCCTCCATCCACCTTCGTTTTAACATAGGAGCAGTGCATCAAACACAGAACTTAAGCACTCCATAATGTTCACGTCGCCTCATTTTGAATACGAATAAAACATCAGGTCATACATAGACTTCTTGTCTCTATGAATTTGAATCTAGATTTATTTCCACTGGCCCTTGAGAAACTCTGCGTGAACACACTTACCCGAAAAAACTAATTTGCTTTTTATTAATAGTGGAAACCACTTGCCCTGCATATTCTACACCCATGGTTGACATTTATTCATACTGATTTACAAAAAACTGAATCACCCAGCTGAGCCATCTGAGGTTAAAAAGCTGAATCATAATGATAGGGGTTTAATATAACGCTCTGATTAATCATTAAATATACATTTTTACCTTTGTTTTGCTACAGATTATTTTTTGCATTAAAAAAAGTCTTGTCTCATTCAATTTTTTATATATTTCATGTTCTTAAAGTAATATTTATAAAATGATTTGAACATATTGATCCATGACTGGTTTGTGAATCCTCCATCCACCTTCGTTTTAACATAGGAGCAGTGCATCAAACACAGAATGATTGTTTTTCTGTGTGATTGATTGTTTTCCTCTCACGTGACTGATGTCAGTAATAAAGATCTTATTGATCAAATGGTTCATGTTGTGATTGTGTGATTACTGTAGATTGGTTTGTGGAGGGAAACGGCTCTCTGAACTTCCTGCAGTGCAGCGTGGGCCGCTCGTACATGTGCAGTGCGGAGCAAATGCTTGCTGTGGTGCCCACCTTCTCCATCAACACCTTCAGACTGCAACTGCAGCCTTTCAACGTCACTGCAAACCGCTTTGCTGCAGGTACTGACCAGCGGTCATGTGATCAGATGTTCAGTTGGTCTGTTTCATGTTCAGTGTCACTGTCAGTCAGTCATTCCGTCTGATTCCTGAAGGGTGAGACACTGACGCTCTCACAACATTGATCTGTTTGTTTGAGTGACATGTCTACTTCTGACTCAACCAATCGTGCGAGTTTGGGGCGGGATATATGACTGACTGACCAATAACAGACAAGTGTTTGAAACATTCATTAATGTTGCAATTCAGCGTGTAACAGAAATCAAATTCAATTCAAATAGAATGACATCACTAACCAATCCGGGTTTCTGCAGGTTATTACTAAGTATTTAAAAGTCTTAATTTGTTTTAGATGTGAAGTCCTCTAAGTACTGTAGCAAAATTCTTCATTGTAATTTGAAGAGGTCTTAAATTTGGAGACGGAAAAAGAGTTGCCATGATATACAGTTATGATTATTAAACTTCTAAAGGCCATGATTCAGTTAAATAGTTGTGAGTGCTGCACATTTCAAAGTCGATTGCAGCGCTGTTGCACATTGAACAGGATTGCAGTTTTAGAGCAGTTCACAATCAGTGAATGCTGCACATTTTTATAATTGCTTATGATGTACCTTTGATGAATTGACAATGTTTGTTATGGTTTTGTATTATTTTATTAAATCTTGTAGATGGTTTTAAGATGCATATTTTATGTCTCTTATCTGTTTAAATGAACAGCTGAAGCAGTAGTGTAGACTGTTTAATGGAAGTGTAGACATTTTAAAATAAGAGTTCTGGTGTATTTCGGGCTTATTGATAATTAAAAGTCCCTCATTATGCATTCAATCTTTTTTTTTTTCCTTGCCTATTATTGGTGTTTTGGTTACATAGTAAACAGTATCTGACATTTAAATCAAGGTAAACTCTTGTATTTTCTCTCTGAATCATCGCCCCATCACAGGAAGAAAGACTAAGAACATTAACACATTCAGTTTGTAGATTTTATTAGTTATTAGCACAGTAGACTTTTTATTGCCTTTCTTTAAACGCATCAGAAAAATCCAGTATTGACTGACCTCTGCTTCATGGGTATTGATATATGAAAACATAAACCAATTTCAATATACATAGCCTATGTAAATTCTGAAGTATTTAAACTTGCACTTCCTCTGTTTTGCAGTCTAATGCGAGCTACAGCTCGTATATTAAGTAAATAAATTTGAGATACCGGATTTATTTTAAAATTGTGAGTTTCTTCTGTACAGGCATGCGGTATTTATTTTATTTTTTCAATTTGATTTTAAAAACTCTGTGTATGTGCAGCGGAGGAGTGTCGTGTGGATCAAGAGAACATGCTCATCCCTATCATCGTGGGAGCAGCTCTGGCCGGTCTGGTGCTGATCGTCCTCATCGCGTATCTGATCGGCAGGAAGAGGACACACGCCGGATACCAGACCATCTGATTGTCTTCATCATCATTCTCCTTCTGCACTGTGATCAACTGCAGCTAGACGCACTGGAGTGAGAGTGAGTGTTTGCTGTGAGGTCAGCTGCAGCGGTCACTTGTATGTGTGTGTATCTGTGCTGCAAGGTCAGCTGCTGTGGTCATAGGTGTGTGTGTGTGTGTGTGTGTGTGTGTGTGTACGTTTGCTGTGAGGTCAGCTGGAGCGGTCACTTGTGAGTGTGTGTTTCTGTGCTGTGAGGTCAGAGGTCAGCTGCAGCAGCATTAGTGTGTGTTTGGTCTGGACTATAGTGTCGATAAGTTCAAAGCTGTTATGAATGAATGAATGTGTTTGTGTGAATGATGATTGCTTGAGTTCAGACATTCAGCACAAACTGGACAAACCAGTTACTCTAACAAACCTTCACTCATGGACATCCTCAAGTCCTCAAAAATAATTTTTTTTATTTTATTATAATGTCCTTTTATTGTTCTTTTTGTTCTAAACATGCTAAATTATTTATGTGAGTGTGTGTTTCTGTGCTGTGAGGTCAGAGGTCAGCTGCAGCAGCATTAGTGTGTGTTTGGTCTGGACTATAGTGTCGATAAGTTCAAAGCTGTTATGAATGAATGAATGTGTTTGTGTGAATGATGATTGCTTGAGTTCAGACATTCAGCACAAACTGGACAAACCAGTTACTCTAACAAACCTTCACTCATGGACATCCTCAAGTCCTCAAAAATAATTTTTTTAATTTTATTATAATGTCCTTTTATTGTTCTTTTTGTTCTAAACATGCTAAATTATTTCTTTTAGTGTTTGTAGTCATTTTAATTGGCTTTAAGTAAAATTAATAGAAGTTTATGACCTTAGCTTATTTTCATAAGTGTGTGTGTGTGTGTGTTTGGGTTTCAGGTGCCCTACATTATAAGAATTTAAATTATAACAATTAAAATATGATTAGCTCAGTATAAAAACCATTACAGTGTGTGTGATGCTGGCATTAAATGACACCTGATATAAATAATAGATGTTTGTTCTTGTTTCTCGGAACACGAAACCTGAAAAGAGCCGCTGGTGAATTACCCATGATCCTTCACACAGGCACACACGATCAGCAGGTGTAAGGGGCCATTCACACAGAAAGCACTTGTGCTGAAAAGCACGAGGCGCTGCAGTGGAGTGGGAAAATATGCAAGGCCTTTTAAAAGTTGAGCACTGCAATTTTAGAACTGTGTTTCATGTATGAGACGCTGAAAAAAAAATGGTCAAACGCGTCCATCTAGCACAGTGGTTCTCAACCCGAGAGCCCTCAAGATAACTAAGAAATCAAGATAAGAAAAAATGCGATTGCTGAACTGAATACAATGCAAGCTAGTTTAAAAGTGTCCCAGGCTGTGACATTAACAACTTTCAAAATTTCATGGCTCCTTGCCAAACACGGCAAATCATTCAGTGATGGGGAACTAATTAGAAACTGTTTTCTGGAATCACAATGTCTTTTTGATGATCTGAGCAACAAGAGTGAGATACTCCGCAGGATAAAAAGTTTACAGCTCAGTAATTAGTTACACGTCGAATTTCAGAAATGTCTGAGAACTTGACGGAACAACTAAAAACTATGCTAGCCACTGCTTCAGCACTCATTTTGGCTGCGGATGAATCAACAGATATCAGAGACATTGCTCAGCTTTGTATTTGGGTGAGATGTGAATTCAAGCACTTTTGAGACTACGGAAGATTTATTGGCATTGAAATCGCTACACTTGTTTGCATTTCCCTGTATTGTGCACCAGCAAGCACTATGCAGTAAGTTAGGTGATGGATACCTCATGAAGATCATGGACACTGTGGTCAAGGTGGTCAACTTCATTCGAGCAAGCCCTCTAATGCATCGCCGTTTTGTTGCATTATTGGAGAAATTGGACTGTGCCTATGGCGACCTCGTTCTGCACAGTGAAGTGAGATGGCTAAGTTGGGGGAAAGTCTTAAATCGCTTTCTGGCTGTACTCCCCAAGATAGTTCACTTTCTTGATGACATTGGCAAGGGAGATAGATTTCCTGTCTTGAGAGACAATGAGTGGGGGAAAAATCTTGCTTTTCTTGCAGACATCACAGTTCACCTAAACGAGCTGAATCTGCAACTTCAAGGTGACTGAAAACACGTTGATGACCTGTTGGGCTGTGTTGAGAGTTTCAAAATGAAGCTAGGACTGTACACTGCACAACTCAAAGATGGGGATTTAACTCATTACCCACTGCTGAATGACGTGAGTGAGGGTGTATTGGACGTACAACAGAGAGAAAGATTTGTTGCAACTGTCAATCAAATGCAAGAAGAATTCATCTCGCGTTTTGCAGATTTTGAGAAACTTAAATTTGCTGGACATTTCATTAGAGAGCCATTCACTTTCCCTGTGGAAAAAAAATCAAGGACTTGACTGCAACTTTCGGTTCCTCCGCCACTCACTTGAAGATGAATTAATGGATGTTCAGGCAAAAGGAAACACCCATACTGCACAGCAATCATCCCCAATTGCAGAAATGTGACGAAACATCCCTGGAGAGATTTTTTTTATTAAAATATCCAAAAACCACTAGAACAGTGTTATATATTTTGCTGACTTGTGTACTTACATTATCCCAAATGTTTCGAAGAATGTTTAAATCCAGAGAAATAAGCAATTGTAACTAGTGACATGGACCGTGTCCATTGTGTCATTGTGTCACCTGCCAATGACGTCATAGCCCCTCGATTTCCGGTTTTGTTTTGTAGAAAACATGGAAACACCAAAGACGCTTTAATATGTTGTGCGTTTTATTAGACCGGTGACGACCGCACAGAGTAGCATTATAACAGAACTTTCAAATGTATCTAGTATGATAAAACAGCGCTGCTTTTTTTCCCACATATGCATGACCGGAAGGAGTGGAAGCGGTCGACTGTGGCATAATAAAAGCTCCGCTGCTTTTGAGCCGTGTGTCACGCTCGTTCAGCAGCCTTGTTTCGCTTCGACGGCTTTCAGCCTCACCCTGCTTCATTCTACTACGTTAATAAATCATTAGCTCATCCATGAACATGATTTCGGCCCGAGTCCCGTCGGATTGCATCGGCTGTGGGGATGAAGATGACGGCTGCATCCGAAAACTTAGGCAGCTGACTTGTTGCCTCGCTGCCCTATCAGGCAATGACTTGCAGGCAGCGTTTGCGCACAAAGGCACCTCACGAAACTGATTTCGGACAGACTTCTGAGGCAGCGTAACGGTTTAATGATCTACAGCAAAATATAGAGCGCTTTGGTGATAACTAAGTGAATATTTAATTACTGCAATAGTAATTTCTCGCTAGAAATGACATCAAAAGTGGAAAACCTTGATCAAAAATGTACATTTACACACAAACTGACCACCGACCGCAACTTTTAGACGCCATCTTTATTTTTTTAGCTTAACTGTCACAGAATGGAACGCACAGGATTGTGGGATATCAAAGGCAGCGAAGTATACATCTATGCTGTTTTCAAAAATCGGCCAGATGAAGGCATCTCAGGAGACAGGAACTGAAGCAAACATTGAATTTGGACGTGCCTTAATGCCTTCCTACCTTGGAATGCGTCCTCCGAAGGCAGCATTTTTCAGTTTTCGGATGCAGCCAACAACTCCCATGATTCCACACTCAGTCACAGCGTCATCAAACTACGCCTTTGTCTATTTGTTCATTTTGAATACGTGCCCTCTAGCGGCGAAAATTAAATCTCGTGCCTTTAAGTTCAAAAGTGCTTTCCATATTTGGATCAACATACATTTGTGAACACACATTTTCTGCAAGGTCTCTCGCATCAAGTCACGCTTCCGTGTGCATCTACAGATTGCAACTAAGTCGCAACTCCATTGTGCTGTTTCTCCTTTCAAGCCAAAGTTCACCACACCTGTCAGCTCCCGACAACATCAGGTGTCCCATTAATGGCGAGTAGAATAATTTATTTATATTGATAAATATAATCATTTAGATAGCAGATATTATAAATATTTTGATAATGCAATAATATAACTCTGGTTGGTTTGTATTGGTGACATAAATGATATGCGGCCCGTGAGACTTGCACTTGGACCACAGTGCGGCCCAGTGGGGAAAAAAGGTTGAGAACCACTGATGTAGCACAAAACAATGGAAAGGCAGCGCAGTGGAATGAAAACATGTTCTGTGTGAATCAGCCCTGAAAATAACTTGCATGACTGATAATGATGATGAAGGTTTAATTTGTTGCTTGAGTGAAAAGGGAAATCGTGATGGTCTGGATGAATAATGAACGCAATCAGTCTTTGTGTCCAAGTCTGAAAACTGTTAAATTTAAAGTGTGTGTCGGTGACATCTTCTTCCTGACAAGATTATGATGATGAAGCACACCGATCATGTTTCATGGGTTTGAGTTTCCTGGAGTTTCTTTATCCTGGTGATTTGATTGGTCACAAGACTCCAGCGGCGTTTGCTTCCGTCACTGACACTCACTAATCAGGTTCGCTGGTTTTTGTTATTTTTGTTGTGAATGTTTGGTTAATTTTATGCATCAGGTTTTGAGGTTAATAAATAATAAATGACTTGCACTCGTCAAGTGTTTTATTATTGACTGTGTGATGAAAACAACAGCTGAATGCGTCAATCATCATGAGTAGCTCCCATCAGTCCGGATCATTTCAAAGACATGAAAATATACGCAAATATTGTTGCTAGTAAATAAAAAGACTAAAGCTCCAAAATAACTACAGATTTACAGATTATTTTAGTATTATTTATATACTATAATAATATCTAATATTTTAAGTTAATTGTTAACTTTGACTTTAATTGTATTTTTATTTTCAATTGTGTGTTTTGTCGTTTTTAAGTTTGTTTATATT